ATATATATATATATATATATATATAAAACATAATCCCACTTTGTTAAAAATAAAACATCTGTGATACATGGGGAAATGTCTGGTAGGATGCATGAAATACTAATCATCTTTATATCTGAGTGGTATCATTAGGGAGCCAATTTTTCCTTTGTCTTTTATACATTTTGTATTGTCTGGTTTAAGAAAATAAGTGTGTGTTACTTTTAGAATCATAAAAAAAATGAACAATTACATTTTTTTAATTTTGAAAGAAAAAGTGTAAACCCGTGATAGTTATTTGAAAGGCAGCTTGCTGTGGGAAAGACCTTAAAGCAGAAAGCTACCTGGCTTTCATGCTGAGGACTAATGTAGGAAGTCTCACCTTTGCAGAATTTCCACACATATCAAGCCATTTGGCATGGACACAACTTCACTTACAAGGTCAACTGATGTGTTATTGAGCCAGCAACAGGGCAGGTTATGATTCAAAATACCATGAAGTCATTTTGGCTCTTTTTTGTTTTTGATTTTTGAAAATAATCTTAATATGAGTATTCATTAGTAGTAATAAAAGATCCTTAAAAATCTAGTCCTGCTAATTTTGTATCCCAGGCAAGGGACTACCGATGGAGAGTGATTGACTATAAACTTTAAGCTCTCCCAAGTGAGAAGAGTTAGAGGAGAGTGGGGGTTTTCTGGCTGTTCGGGCCACTCCTCCAGTGAGAAATCTAAGATGAAGAAAGGTCAAGTATGACTTGGTCTCAGTGGCAAATCAAGTTTGTGTCAGAGCTGAAAGCCAACAACATCCAGCCGCAAAGCACATTGGTAGGTGGGAGGAAGACAGCAACATCTCAAATTGTTCAGGCATAGTGAGAAATTAAGGGCTAAAAATGAAATTCCATTCAGGAAGGGGGTATAGTTATGTGTGTAGCATAGGATGTCCCATATGGAGCTTTTATGGGTCTTGCTTGTCTTGGAAAAGGAAGGCCCCAGTAATAGCCAAGACCTTGTGGCTGATCCAGAGATGTAGAAGAACATATTAAGACTTTGTGTTTGATTAGCTTGGGAAGCAGTCATTAAGGACCCTGCTGTGGTTAAAGCTGTCTACTGAGAAATAAGCCAAAGGAATATTAGGCCAAGAATCTGAAGATTGAAGCCAAACCACTGGGAAGGTCTTCTGACTGCAAACTACAATGTGATTGAATTAGAAGGGAACATTCGAATCATGTCATGCTGTCCCCTCAAGTTCAACGAGTCTGAAATTGAACTCATCTTTCCTCATAAAGCAGCTCCTTGACTGCACTTTGCTGAGAGCAATAAAACACTACGCTGTAGATGCCTTACCATAACATCCGTGATTTCATTTGACTCTCACACACTTACAGACAAGGAAACTTAACTCGGGTTAATCAAAGGCTGCCAGCTAGTAAGAGGTCAGGTCTAGAAACCAGGTTTTCTGAATACTAACCTAGTCATCTTTCAACTACATCACACTGCCCTTCTTGCCACATTTGTGGAAATAATCTAATCAGTGACATGTTATTTATATTGGAATTCTAGTATTGCAGGCTAGCAGATTTTAGTGAATATGAAGTCAGATTTTTCTAACGTGTATAGAACAGATCAACCAACCTTAGAGATTGTTCATTTCATTGTTTATAAGCAACCTAGGTTAAAAAAAATCATAGTGTTTGTATCGTTGAAGTCAAAAGATAGCGCCAGGCCTATGCCTAAACATGCCTGGCTTGTACATGCCACCACCACTCTCAGTCATTAGGTTCATACTGTTGGTATGAATTGTTTGGTTCTGCACACCTACAATTTATATTTTCATTATCTTTCATTTGCAAATTCTTTTAGCTTTGTTGTTATATAAGAATTATAAGCATGAAACTTTTGCATATCTGGGTATCTATTTGTAGATATGTAAGTAATATTGTAATAAAATCACTTTAACTCCCTAACATAAAAAGCAGCCTGCTGCACAGGGCAGCTCCATCCCAACCTGTGGACCCACCAGGTCAGCTTGTCCCTAGGCCAGCACACCCATGTCTTCTTGGAACTGTGTATCTCCATACACATTACTCCTTCAAAAGTATCCAAATTGCCCTGGTCAGTCGGCGTGGCTGAAGGGTTAGGGCATCGGCCTGCGCACCATTCCGGTGGCAGGTTCTATCCCCGGCCCCGGTCGGGGCAAGTTCGAGAGGCACCCAGTCAATGTGTCCTTCTCACATCGATGTCCCTCTCTCTCTCTCTCTCTCTCCTTCTCTTCCATTCTCTCTAAAAATCAATGGGAAAAATATCCTCGGGTGTGGATTAACAACAACAAACAGTATCCCAGTTAACCACGCAGGCCATGTCCTCTTGAGCTCCGGTTCTTTACTGGGGAACATATCTAACACGGTGATATTGATTGTATAATTTCCCTAATTAGGCACTTGCTTCCGCTGAAACTATGAAAGCAAAATAAGACACATGTAAGTGAAGCCCTGGGTGCCTCTTCCAGCTGCCCTAGCCCTTAAGTTTCTACCTAAATATACACGTGTGGGCTACCACGATGTGCCCGGCATGTGTGGGCCACTAAAGCACATTTTAGAACAAAAGAGGACCCTTAGAAGGAGCTGCACTGACTTTGAAGCCTCCTATCAGTTATCACCTCCCTCCTGTGAAAAGGAACTAAAAGGAAGAAATAAAATCCAAGCAGAGGTAGATATCCTGCTCTCAATTTGGGCTTTTTAATGCCCAAGTCCTGGTTTGGGAACTTAAACTGATTCTTTTCTGACCCTATGACTATCTACATAAATAATGAGTGTAGCATGCTGAATCTTTTTAATAAGTGTTTTGACTCTTTTTTAGTTCAGTGCTTTGGATTTCTGCTTCTAAATCTTACATGCTAGTCATCTGCTTAATAAAGAAATCTAAAGGTGCTAACACAATCGTTTGTGTGGGTTTTTAAATTTAAGCTGTTTATTTGATCATTGCAAATTATCTCCTATAGATATAGGACTAGTGCTTTTCAGATACGTAAAAGTTTGAAAATAGAGATTGGGTCTCTAAACTTAAGGAACGGCACCATCCTTCTACTTTATTTATTTTTTTAAACTATGTCTATTGATTTTAGAGAGAGGAAGGGAGAGAGAGAGAGAAACATCAATGATGAGAGGTCATTGATCGGCTGCCTCCTGCACGGCCCCGACTGGGGATCAAACCCGCAACCTGGGCACGTGCCCTGATTGGGACTCAAACCCCGATCTCCTGGCCCATGTTCAACCTCTGAGCCACACCGGCCAGGCCACAACCATCCTTTTAAAACTCCATGATTCAGGACTCGGGGCCGATCCTACCAAGAGGCCGGTGGAGGTGGCTGGCAGCGGGCGCACTCAGAGGTGGCTTTGTGACGTTGCAGGATCGCCTACCAGAGGAACGACGACGATGAGGAAGAGGCCGCGAGGGAGCGGCGCCGGCGAGCCCGGCAGGAGAGGCTGCGGCAGAAGCAGGAGGAAGAGGCCCTGGGGCAGGGGACCGACCAGGTGGAGGCTCACGCCCAGAACAGGTGCGTCCCCTTCGGGATGGAGAATTCCTCAGTTGCTTCTTAGGCTGTCTGATGAATGGAGTGTGTTGGGCAAAGCATTCCCCTCTCGGCCCAACTCAACTGCTTCCAGTCTATCTAATTTGTCTAATTATTTCATGGCCAGTTTAGGCAACTAATCACATTGAAGAGTCAAACTGATGTTGACATTAGGACACCACTGCTCCTTTCTCTCCCCCCACCCCACCCCCCAAAGTACCCCAATTGGATTATTTTATTTTATTTTATAATCTAGTAATTTGTATTTACTCAATATGGTAGGTTATAGCTTTAAATAAGGGGAACTGTTTACATTCATTCTTTAGGCTGTTGATCTCTGTTTTGAACTAAAGATTTATTAATTTAATAGTCCTCTGTGCCTACCAGTAGCAAATAATACTTCAATTTTAAAAGGAGTCATGAATTGCAAATGTCTTATTTTTCCTGATATACAGCCTGAATATCCTGTGATCACTGCAATATTCAGCAAGGCGCAGAATCCTGTTTAATTTACTGTAGTTATTCAAACACGTTTTTCCTATACATGCCCTGGTAGAAATGAGGAAAGTTGAGAGCACTTAAGAGATTCAATTTCTTCAAAAAGGGCTTTTACAGGTTCACACATACAAGGTCACACATACAAGGTGACACAGTCCATTATGCTAATAGTTAGTGTAGGTCATTTATATGCCCCCAAGGTATAGAAAAGATGGGGATATTTGGACGAAAAAGTTCATATTAATGTATAACTATGGGCTGATTAAATATAATGAAACCACCATATAAGATCTTGTATGCGGTTTTGGTTTTAGTTTGTTTTATTTTGTGTGTGTTGGGAGGGCACTGTTGATACTTTCTTTAACTCAATCTAGCTAGAAAATTCTGAACCAAAAGAGTTCTGGCCTCTTTGAACCAAATTTAAGTGGGTACACAGAACGGTTCTGAAGGCAGTCTTGAAAATGCTGGCAGGCAGGATGAATTCAATAAGGAAACTTACTGCTTAGGTGGAGAAATAGAGACCATGCCTCTTGGTCAGCAGCTCCTCATTATATAGCAAAGGGGTTGTAGGTATTTTCTCTGGGGTTCACTACTCAGCTTTGAATCTGAACTTGCCTTTCACCAACTGTATTTCTTCAGTTAAATAGAAATGAACATTCTACCTTTCTCTTAGGAACATTGTTGAATTTAAATGAAATAATAAAATGCACAGCACCTTACACACAGCAAGCACCTAATTGTAACTTATTAGAAGGGTGGCATCAGAGTCTTACCGAGCAGGGCTGCATAGTCATTCACTGCCTTTCCTACTTTCGAGCTGAGGGTGGAAGGGGCAAAGAGCTTAAAAACAGCAATTTGAGGCCTTGCCAGAATCTAGATTACGAGCGAAGGATCAACAATGGCTAAAAAACTTACTCATGGTCTGTAGTTTGTCTTTCTTTTCAAAATCTTGCTTCTACTTGAGTTTCTCTTCTTTTTTTACATTTTATTAATAACAGTTTTTTCATGCTGTTGATTGAATGCAAAATACTTCTTTTGTTCCAGTAAAGCATATTAAGAGCTGAGAACATGTGATTTACCTCTAAAATATAAACAACCCTAACTGGTACTTAACTACTGATGATCGCTGTCATGATTTATAAACAGGCAAAGAAAGGTTCGGTAGATTCTGTTGTATTCTTAACTCAAGAGTACATTCATCTGGCTAGCACTTTGGAATTTGGGGTACCTTTTAAAGCTTACTTTAATTCAGTTGATCCAAATGCCTATGTATATAGACTTTTTCCCTTAAATTCTAAACTATCCGTATTTGGGGGAAAATTTAATCCTTATATGTCTAATTCATGGAGACAGTGTCCTGTGGCAACAGCTAAGGCCAAGAAAGTCTAAAATCTAGCCTTTACTCTGCCATTTCTTGTTGTTAAATGTGAAATGTGTTTTTCCAAAATTAAGTGAACTTGAACTTCAAAGGAGCCAAGTTCGGTCTGAACCATGAAATTTGATGGAGTTTCTAAACATTGCAAGACATATTCTTCCAATTCTGGCCACAGTTCCTGGTATCACATGACTGGCTGCTTCCTGCCAGCAGAGACCAACACCCCTGGCTCAGGCAGTGTCCAGCATCCTGCAGTAGTGAGTGAGGTGATGGACATGGTACAGTTTGATTTTTAGATAAACATTAAATTTAACTGTTCTCTGTCTACTACAGAAAGAAGGGCAAGAGACCCTTTATTCATGGAAATCTTAAAGAGTGTAGGTGGTATATATACTAGTTAGGGTAATGTCAGCTGCTAAAACAATAAGCCCCCAAATTTTAGTAGTTTAATTCAATAATACATACCAGTCTAGTGTGGTTACTTCTGACCGGTAGGTAGAACTGGTCACCTACTTTCTTTCCTCTTGTGACTCTATCTAAATTCCTGGGGCTTTGGAGTCCTCTGATCTCGTCAGCAGACAGAGATAGAGAGGGTGGAGAAGGCACCTTTGCTTCTTAATTGTCTTGGTCTGGACACATCACTTCTGCTCACATTCAATTGGAAATTATTGGTCACATGGCTCTACTAGGTGCAAGTAAGAGGAGAAGGTAGAAAATAAAATCATTGACTGACAATTACTTCCTGTTACTGTGGAAGAAGAGTATGAATGTAGCAGACAGTGGGGGTCATCAGTGTGAGTATAGCATTTCTATAATACACACTCCCTTCCTCTCAAAGTACTTTGTGTTCCACAAATCCAGTTCAAGAATTCTAGATGACTTGGTGACATGTGAAAATACTGTATGATACTAGAGGAATTCACTTATTGTTTCAGTTTAGTCCTGGTCTTAGTTTGAGGTCCCCAAGATGCAGTTCCTAAAACAAAGATTTCACCACAAGTCGTTTATTTGTAAAATGATCCCAGAAAACACCGGTAGTTGTGTGGAGAAGAGAGACAGGGAAGGGAAGGCAACCAAGTCAAGGTTTCATCACCAAGCAAGTGACCACTGTGGGGATCTGGAGCTTAACTCCCTGGAAAACTCTAAGATCTAGGGTGGCACAGGCACCTCAGAGTTATTCCACTCAAGAGGTGCAGGGAGAGGAGGTATTTACACACCAGCGCTCATCAATTTTTGTTTGAGGGCTGCTCCCGGGGGGCAGGGGGGGGGGTGTTAATATTCAAAGCAGTTCTGGCATGTAGAGTAGACTTCAGGTGCCAGAGAGAGACCAAGGGCGCAGCCTTGCACACGCTGTCAGCGGAGGGGGGTGTATGTGGCATGGGCATGGTATTGCCAGCCTCTGTTGCAGTGCCAGTGGGGTCGGGGGATCCAGCTGACTGAATAACCAGCAGTGCGCTGTCTCTGGTGTTGTTGTTTCTGATGTGCAGTGTGCCCGACGAGGAGGGCAAGGCCACCACCATGAACACTCAGGTGGAGGGCGATGAAGAGGCCGCGCTCCTGGAGCGCCTGGCTCGGCGGGAGGAGAGACGCCAAAAGCGCCTTCAGGAAGCCCTGGAGCGGCAGAAGGAGCTGGACCCCACAGTGACAGATGTCGGCGTGTCGCTGCCCAGCGGGAGAATGGGGAACGACACAGCAGAAAACGAAAACACCGAGAAGGAGGAAAAGCTCGAACGTCGCCAGGAAAGATACGCGATGGAGGAGACTGAAACGGTGCCCAAGGCCTGCCAGAAGAACGCCCGGAGGGATGCCGAAGACAGAAATGAAGAGGCCCGAGAAAAAGACGAAGCAGAGAAGCCAAAGCGAGGGAGCGTCAAGGAAAATCAGGTAGAGGCGATGGGAGAAGAGAGCACAGCCGAAACTCAAGAAGAAACCCTGGGGACGTCTTTGAAAAATGGGCAGATGGGTGCCGAGGAGCCTGAAAGAGAGGCGGAGAGGGAGCGAGGTTCCGATGAGATGACCCATGATGAGAAGGTGGAGGAGGGAGAGAGGGAAGGGGCCCAGGCAGAGAGCGTCAGGTTGGAAGCAGAAGAAAGGGACAGGGTTAACGCTGAGCAAGACCTAAAGGTAGCTGAGGAGGAGGCAAGGCTTGAGGCCGAAAGAAAAGCAGCCGCACAGGAGAGAGAAAGGAGGGAGGCGGAGGAGAGAGAAAGGAGGGAGGCGCAGGAGAGGGAAAGGGTTATGGAGGAAGAGCGCAGAGCAGCAGAGGAGAGGCAGAGAGCAAAGGCAACGGAGGAAATGAAAGCTAAGACAGAAGAGCAAACCCGAAGAAAGCAGCTAGAAGAGGAAAGCCGGGAAGGGCAAGAGCAAAAGGCCAAAGGGGAAAAGACAGAGGAGAAGACAGAAGGGAAGTGGGTCAATGAAAGGAAAGGACATGAAGATAATCAGCAGGCAGCTGTCCAAAGGAAACAGGTACAGTAAACATTTTGCGCCACGTGTGTGATGCCTGCGACTTGTGAGAAATGTAATGCACATCAAATTTGGGGCCGAGGCCGCATTCCTGTAGCCCACATGCTTGGTCATTTGGCAAGCCGTTCGTTTTTTTTAGGCCATAGCAATCGGCAAGCATGAAGCAATCGATTGATGGCGAAATAGTCCATCAACCAAATTTACTGAGACAACCAGAGAGAAATGTATTGCTCTGGGCTTGCTTGTTATGAGCACCAGAAAAATGAATGAACCCGAAGATGGTGACTGTGGTGGTGCTGTGCTGACTTGTGATTCTGCACCTGCATCTAAACTCATTCCTTTGCGCACCTTTACCTCTCTCCATAGGTCTACATGAGGCAAGAGCATCTTAACTCCTCACCTTACTCATGGGTTTGGCATTTAATAAAAAATTATAAATGTTGGGGTGGGAAACTGACAAAAAAGAATCATGGTCAGAAATAGCATCTTAAGAAGGCAAATATAAAACCCTCAAAATAAACTGGTAATAAAGGAGAGAAAGAAGCCAGTTTGGACCTTTTGTTAAAAAAAAAATGTCAAAACCATGATTGGCATCATGTAGACCTGAGCTTAATGTAAACTTGCAGAAAGCCGGTTATCCGGGTGGCATCAGTTTATAACTGACTGGTCATTAAAAGCATACATTTTGCTGCTTTTACCATCTGAATGATACACATAAATTGACATAACCTGAGGAAGGGTGGAAATTGAGGAGAGGAGTGTGGGCTACAAAAGATAGTTTTTCTGTCTGCAAGGCTACATTAAAGCGCTGTGCTTAACCACTACCTGCTTGCATGCTCCACCTTCCAGAAAGAGCTCTCTGTCACTAAGTGTGCATTGCCTGAAGTTGTCTTTGCACCCCTGCTTGTTACAAGGGGCTCATGAACACAGCTACAACTGAGAGGATCAGGAACAAAACGCACCAAACCACACACGAGATTTGTAAACACGTCCGAGGACCACCACGTCCCCGCTAGATATCAACGAGCACAAGGGCAGGCACATGGGAAAAACACTGGGGGTGGGAAGCAAATGCCCCAGGCTGCTGTGTACAACCACTGGCACAGGGGGAAATGTGAGCACTGACACGGCAAGAGAAAAGGCGGCCTGAGCCACATGCCGAGTGACCTGAGCACCTTCTCACTCCAGTCAGCTAGAAGGGGCTTCTTTTAAATGAGTGACCTCACCATTCTTGACAATGAAAAGGGAGAAGAGAAGGGGGCTACAGTGCAACTTAAAAGAGAAAAGTCCCAAGAAGACAAGCCTGCCTTCAAAAGAGAAGAGGTAAATATCACTGGGAAGCAACCCAGTTAATCCTAAAGCAGCAGAAAGAGCAGAGCGCTCCATGGCATTTCAGGCCTGACCATCTCAAAATGATGACCTCGAATGTTTTTCAAGCCATGACTCATGACTTATCGAACGGCAGAATCAACATAGAGCATCTCAAAGGTAGTTAAATGTGTCCATCGGCATTTTTAAAAATGAATTAGAATAGAAAATGTCAGAGGGCACTGTAGGCAGTAAGTGCTGCATTGGGACCTAAATTGTCTGTCTTACTGTAGGTCACAGTCAAAGCTTGAAAAACACTCCTGTGATCAGTCTTCCCCGCTTCCCTGTTCTGCTAAGTGCTAGTTTTTTTTCCTTGAGCTATCCTACTTTCATTTCCATCGTGAAATTATTTCCAACTGGCTTCGATTAATGATTTAACTTCTCAAAGGAAAAACGCCCCCCCACATCTCAGTAGAAAATTTGATGAACGGATGAGATTTGGTTTTTCAAAAAACACTTTGGCGAAGTGTTCTGCATTGCATTTCTGAGGCACACACAGGCGCTGGTGCCAGGGTGTTTGACGGTAGGTAAGTAACCGATAGGTGGTCCAGAGGCCGCTGCAGAGACAATGTCGGGACCTGATGACACTGAAATGCCAGTCAGAAAGCCTGACTCTGTTGTAACCACTGTGCTTGTGTTAGCTCCAAGTAATCCAAAAAAATGTGACGGTGTCTAATCAGTTCAAAGTACGTGAACATGGTAAAATGAAACTATGAAAAATGAAAGGGTTGAATTACTTTGCCCGTGGACGGATGTGCATTTATTGCGCACCAACTCAGATGGGGTCTTGCTGCATTGCTCTACCCGTTGTAGGTAGAAACAGAAAACAGAAACAGAAAAAAAATCCAAAATTAGAAAGTAGATAACCAGATTAAATAAGGGTTATTTTCTTAAGCTTTTTAAATAAGATTCACCTAAAAAGTGAAAAGCCCTAGTTCCTGTTATGTTTATTTTGTTTAAGATGTATGTCCCTTCGTGTTTCTAATGGAACTCGTGGTGGTTTGGGGGTGAAAATTGTGAACTCTGCCCACTTAGAGGCAGGAGAAAGCTTACATGCTAATAACTGGACAAGCGGATCTGGCCCAAGTGAGGCAGCTAAGGAAATGGTTGAACGTGTGGGAAAACACTGTTCTCACTTTGTAGCAGAAGAACACAAGCTCAGGGACAAAAAAATGAAAGTTACCTCGGAACTAAACTCAAGCAGAAACATCCCACGTGGGTTCGTCTCTAGAGCTAGTGTTTCGTGGTGAATTCTTTACAGAGAGAAGAGGGCGTGAAATCTCAGCTTAGTGATCCCATTTATGTTGGGGAGGGGGCGCTGAAAAAGCACTGTTTGGATCCTGTACTTCAAATTTAACTCACGTCACTGAGGTGTGATTGGTTTCCAGTGACCAGAGCATTCTGCGTCTATGCGCTGTGTCCAGAGCTGGAAAGAGCTCGTGGCAGCCACCCAAGTCCTCCCTCTGCCTCTTTCCAGATAAGGCCCCCACTCGATGGCCCTGGTAGAGTGACTTCAGAGCCTCCTCTCTCCCACTTTGCCCTGCAGCACATTCCAGTGTCCCAAAACTTTGGACTCTTTTTTTATTCGAGGCCAGATTAGCTCCTCTGCACAGGCTTAAAAAAAAATAAAAATCTGCCATTCCTGTTTTAACATTGGGCACATAAATTGCTAGCTGAATGACCAGGTTTCCCCTCTCCAGCTAGCTGTGTGGCTGCTTTACGTAGACCACTTTAAATCATATTTTACATGACTTAGCCCTTCTTTTTTTTTAATTTCCTTTTTGTTAAAAATATTAAAAACTCCTTTTCTTTCAAGGAGCAATGTGAGACCAGTCAACCACAAGTAAACACAAACATCACGAACGCCTTCGTAGAGAAAACATTTCCAGGAGTAGCTCCAATACCTTACAAAACACCTTCTTTCTCCCACTGCGGTTGAACTCTTTTTCTTTTTAATGTAGGAAACGTTTCATTTGTTGTGACAATGGATCGCAGACGATCACCAACCTTGAAACTTACTGTAGCTTTTTATTTCTCCTCTCCAACCATAAAATGTCTCCTTTTAGTTCTTTAGCCTAAAAGTCTCCCCCACGCCCCTCTCCCACCTCTAACAGAAAAGCAGCTTCCAGGGGAGTTGTTCATAGAAGGTTGAAACTGACATTCAAGCATCTAGTCCAAGTCTCCCCAATGCTGGTGTGCATGCGAGTCACAGGGCATCTCAGGAAACGCAAAACCTGACTGACTCAGCGGCTCTGGGGTGGAGCCTGAGCTTTCTGGTGAGGCCTGTGTTGTCCGTGGAGACCAAACTTTCAGTAGCAGGGACATTCATGTGATATATATTGGACCCAAAGAAGTAGCTGAGGCTTCTGAGTCTAACAAAAGTACATTAAACCTACTCTGGAAAAAAAGGTTAACTTGCATCAGCCCTTGTCACTATTCTGGACTCAAATATTGCAAAGCAATAATTACAAAGACTGGCATCACAGTCCTTTATGCCGTGACCTTTTGAATGTCTCTCTGGCACAAGGTCATGTCGCCAGAAGCCCCACCCCATGCACGCCCATGTGTTTTCCCATTGGATATCCCAAATATCCAGTTTTAACAAAATGATCGCATTTGGCAGGCCTTTCATATGCTAATGTTATCTGTCCAAGAAGCACATTAGCTGTTCAGGATACTTGGCTACCCATTAATCCATCAGCACAGATTTCCTTTATGGTAACATTCTGACCTAGAAGATCTAATGCTTTTCCCAAGTGACTTAGACTCCCATGAGCTTGTATTAAATCTGCTACGGAATCCAGTCCACTGTGCTCCTTAAAATAAAATGTAAAGGCCTTGTGGAATTACTTTATTTCCCAAAAAGATAAAATAATTTGCAAATTCAAATTATCATGCTTTCACTGGGAATTTTCCCTAAGGAAGTCTTCCAAAGAGAATATAAGTATAACATCCACCGTAGCCTTTGCCAATAAAGGCAGAGCTTGAAGGAAACATGTATTGTTTTACAAATCTATATTACATACACTTTTGGTCAGTAAATCAAATATTGCATTTGGGGAGAATGGAAATATCTCTGACTCCAAAATAGGAGAAATTAGTTAAAGGGTATTTCATCTTTGCTACTATTCCACAAATCATGCGATTTGACTCAGAATTTGTTTCATGGGTTTTCTGAAATGGGACCCCCTCACCCCCAAATCTGTATCCCCAGATACTTCTTAACCAAGATATATAATCCGGTCCATGGTTTCTGGGGCTCTATCCAATAACGATAGGCAAGACAAGAAGAAACCCTGCCTGGCCCTGCGTGCCCCATGAATACTGATTTATGATTGGGCAAGGACAGCCACCAAAGAGCCACAGCCAAGTTGTAGGACAAGCCAGGAGTTTCCTTCTCTGTAGCCTCTCATGACAAATCAGAGGACAAGAGGGAAATGAAAGGATGAAGGATTAGAAAGGGATCATCTAGCCTAACCACCTCTTTTTATGCAAATGGAACCAACACCCCAGAGAAGTCAGGTGACTTCATCAAAGTCACACGGCTACTTTGTCAACAGCACTGAAACCAAAATTCAAGTTTCCTGACTCCAGACAAAGCTCTAAGAGAACAGCAAGACAACAGCTCGCTTCTTCAGCATGTCTGAGGGATATCATATGCCAGGTGTATACCCCTTGGAGAAAGATTAAAGTTTTAACTAATTAGGGCAACATGCCTGTTGCCCATTAAATTACTTCAATACAGTCCATCTGTAGTAATTTAATAAAATAATAACCAAAGTAGGCAATCAGGGAAAGGACTATTGAAGGCTCATCAGTAAAGAGCAAAAAAATGTACTCTGCTTAGCAAAACATGCATTTGAATAGTAAATATTCAGAGGGTATCTGAAGAATAGCTGGAAAGAGGTGAGTGATCAGGGACTGGAAGGCAGGCCATCTGGACAGGACCTAACGTCCTAAGTTCTTATGTCCCACCCTTGCTCTGTAGGTTTCTTTAGAACATAAGTGCTTTCTCGGTCTTGAAAAGAGCAATAATGAACCTCCCCTGTTTTTACACTCATCTTTTAAGAATGGATGAGATGATATAGGTAAAATAATTTATACTCCTTTACCCCCAAAAAAGCTACATAAATTCAGTCTACCTTGAAATAATCTCTTATTTACCATGAGGAACTTATGCCTAATACCTGTTCTTAGTGTACGACCTTCTTCTATCACCCACAAGAGTCACAAAACCACTTTTGGAGACTAAATTATTACCTGTACCGCAAGTCAAGGTAAACCCTGGGGGTTTTCCCCTTCTGTTCTAACTTAGTGACTTAGATGATTACAAACATGGTCCCACAGACCTGTGAGTCATCCCCCTGAAGGTAGGGTTATTATTTCTTCTGTCCTGGAGACCCTGGTTACTTATTTGATTAGAATACTAGGATCCTCCTCTGACATCATCGAAAGTTGGCTTGACAGATCTGGCTAATCCAGTAGGTTTCCTCTTCTTTCCTCCTCAACACATTCGTGTCCTTCATCCAAGAAGAAACCTGTCCAAGCAACCTGAGCATTTTCCCGTCAAGGCCCCCCTCATAATCTCTCTTCCCACTGGGAACTGCAAACAACCACTCATGTGCAGTTCCAAGGGTGTAATAGTTTCCAATGGTAACACCTCCAATGCTTTCAAAAATAAAATCCCCAGTGAAATCAGGAATAATCTTGACTTCCTAAAATTGTGGTCAGGGTCTTTGCTCAGAGGCTGGGGAGCCAGAGCTCATGCTCTAAGAATTTCCTCTGACCCCATTTCTACCACATGGTTCTACAGTGATTTGTTTTACTTCTGAGGTTTCTGGCTTCCTAACAATTGGGGGTCTCATTTGGTGACACCAACCAAAACCTAATATGATTTTTATTGTTATGTTTCCTCCTGATGTGTACTGTTGGTTAGTTCAAAGATGAGAAGATTAAAAAAGACAAAGAGCCCAGAGAAGAAGTGAAGAGCTTCTTGGATGGAAAGAAGGGATTTACAGAAGTGAAGTCGCAGAATGGAGAATTCATGACCCACAAACTTAAGCACACCGAGAATTCTTTCAGGTAAGACGTAGTGACTAACAGCGACTGTGTTCACATGTGGAAAAAAATCAGTCTCCCTACCCTGTGCCTCTAGACAGAAAAGTGCTGAACAGGCAACATGCTTTAGTTGTGAGGTCACTGGCCATTGTCTCAGAGATGCGCAGTCAGCAGGTCAGGCTATCAATCACTAACAGAAGACCAGCCGTCTTTACTCAGGCAAAGTTTAATCTGCATTTCCCATACTTTAGCAACGTAGATTATGCTTGAAAATACAAGTTCTTGTCCCTGACCTAATATGCTCATGTAAGATCAGTTTATTAGAAAACATTATTACTGATATCACTGATTCCTTCTCTGTATGGTCCAGGCAACTTTCATAAGAGACCCTCGCGGTACCATTCTCAAGATTGTATTCTCTAGAGGTTGTAGATAAATACTGCCTAAAACTAGGATTATTCTGTGGCCTAATATTTGGAAAGCATTAGGTTAAACTAAGTTAGTCGAATCTCTTTGCCAAAGGACTTTGAAAGCACTTGGTGTTAATTTGTATTGCAAATCTCTCAGGGAGGAAGAAGGCATCCAACTAATACTCCATTTAATACCCTTTGAAAACCCTCTTGCATAGCTTCAGCTTCCCCTCCTCACCCCATTATGTTGCAAATTTGGACAATTGATTTTAGGGCAGAGAGACAAGTATATGCTGGTAAATTCTCACTTCTAGATACATTGAACACTTAGAGCTCCCCACCACATTTTGTGGGAGTCAAGTTGCAGGTGCCTGCCATGGACACCAGGCTACATAATTCTCTGGGCCCCGTTCCTACTCCTACACCCCCGCCAACCACTGTGCCAAATTTCAGCCTCTGTCATGTTACTGGCTGCTGTGCCAGATGTTGTGGAAGAGCCTGGATCCCTATAATGTGGAATTCCATGCAGCCTTGCCTGTAGATCCTGAGCAGGTATTGTGCAGAAGTCAGACAGGGTCCTCACAACAAAACCTTTGTAACACACAGAAGCGAGCAAAGCTACTGGGTGGGGATGGATGTTTCCAGCTCCTCTAAGAGGCTAAAATGGGTCAACATAATTGCCCCCAAGCAATTTTCCAATACAAAACTTTGAGCAGAAATCCAGTCACATTTATCCAATAGAAAGCCTAAATTGGCAAGAAAGTAGATGTGAAAAACTAAGAGCGTATCAGGAAGTCATAGGAAATCTAGAAATCAAGTTGATTCTGGCAGGTAAGCCGAGCCCAGAGCTTGCTGAAGTGTCAGTAGGTTAATATTTTAAAGCCCTAGAACAGCATGGAGTTCATGAGAAGCGGTCAATGAATATTGCCTAACAGTATTAGTGTTTTGTTGTTTGAGAGTTTAAAAGAAGTTTTGTGGGTATGAATACATTTTTTTGTTGTTAAGAGGAATAATGCTTTTTAAAAAATCCATCAGTAGAAAATTTGGTTAACAATTAGCAAACTTGCCAACCAGTTTCAGCCAAAGCTCAAATTAATAATTAACACATCCATTGTGTGGAAATCCAGAGGTTGGCTAATTCCAAGAGAAAATTCAGCAGGGATGCCAACAGGTTAAGCCTGAGAACCCTTAAATGTGGATTTTTAATTTTTCCATCTTTGGGCAGACAAAAATGACAGGAACATCAAGTTTTTCTTTAGCTGCTAACACGTGTTAGTTTTAGTTTTGATAGAAGTCCATGGTGACAGAAGCAGAGATGCCTGGTTTTGCTCCATAAAGTGAAGAGCTGGGGAGGAAGAGCCTCTGTTTAGATTAGCATGGTGTCTACTAACCTAACTGAAAACAAGCTGTGTTCTGAATGGTTAAAGTTCTGATGTTCATCTTCACTTGACACCCAAAGAAACCAAGGACCGAAGAGAGAGACTTCTAGAGGAAATTTTCCTATTATTTGTGGCACCCTAATACTGAGGGCATGCCAGCGCATCTGAGCAGAGGTGATTTGGACAAAACTCTTGTTCCTGTTTGAGCATCACTCCTTGTGTTTGATTTAGTTACTGTCCCCTTTGATGTTTCAGTTCTCTTATAACTAGATCAACTGTTTTCTCTAAGGATGACATAAAAATCTCAGTTCAAGAAGCAAGTTTATAGAGATCGATTATACCGAGGGTTTTATAGAATGTACAAAACAAGGATTTGTTTTGCTTTCTGTTTATTTTTTTATGTGAGAATTAAAGTTTTTTCTGACTATAGAAAAAACTGTACTCTTTATAAAACATTCAGAAAATAGAAGTACAAAAATAGGTACCCACCACCCAAAGATAACACTAATAACATTTTTTGCAGATATTTTCTATGTATATACATTCAAAATAGACACCCATATATACATACAGCAGGTATATGTATGAATAGAATTCTAAATCTACATTTTAAATTGATTCTTGCATGGTGCATAGCAATGTGTCTTAGCTAGCCTCCTATACCAATGAATATAAGTCTACAGTGAATGATATTAGAGTGTTCCACTAGATGGAAGTATCAAGATTTATTTAACCAGTCCCTAATGGGGGCAGTTTGAGTGTCCAAAATGAAGACTGAGCGACATCTAGTGGAATCTAGAGAAGTTTCTACAAGCCGTGTTTTGCCCGTCCAACTGAACACTAACATCATGAACACAGGGAGAGCAAAGGCCTCTGAAGATGGACAGACCTTAAGTTAACTGAGAGAGCAGATTTCCTCTCTGAAGTCACAATTCTATAAACCTATACACCTATAAGAGCAACATGAAGTTTTAAGGGACCGTCTAACTTTGATTGAGTTCAAAATAAAAGAGCTCATCTTTCACCATCAAGCACCTAGAACCAGAGTTTTAAATTTTTTAACCTCAGCTCTTAGTAAGAAATAAATTTTACATCATGACCCAGTGGCATCTACATCCATAACTGACACCAACATGTCAGTTAGTTAGAAATGGTCATTCCCCTCGCTCTATGCAGGACACTCTGATGATTCCTAGTTCGTTTTATAAATGCTAATTACAGTCCACTGAATTGATTTTCTGACCTGCAGCTTGAAAACCATTGTCCTAAAGGACTCGGTATATTCAGAGCTACCGCAGTGTTTTAAAAGCATGAGATGTGCACATCAGATCAATATTGCCGAGTGTGTCATCTGGAATCACTTTTGTTTTAGTATTCCCCTTGTGCCATAGCGAGAAACCCTGTGCCATTCTCCACGTGGAACCGATGGCGCCAGACAGTGGCAATTCACCTGTTGCTTAGACAAAAGTGTTGGACGTGGGCTGCCTGCGTCCAGATCTGTGCCCTCACGGCTGGCTAATTAGTATTTAAGTCAGATTTCTTTTTCATGGCTAAATAATATTCCACTGTAAATATGTACCACACTTTCTTTAGCCATGCATCCGCCAGTGAACACTTAGGTTCTCTACAAATCTCAGCTGCTGTAAATAATGCTGCGGCGAGCAGGAGGGTGCGGATAGGCTCTGGAGCCGGTGTTTTCCTTTTCTTCAGATAAAAGCCCACAAGTGGGATGGCTGGATCATAGGTAGTTCTGTTTTCACATTTTTTTTAAGAAGCTCCCTACTGTTTTTCGTAGTGGTTGCACCATTTTGCAGTCTCAGCGACAGGGTCTGTTTGCCCCACTGTAGAGCTGGGGACACCCAGGGTCAGTGGCAGCGCAGGGACTCGGGGTCAGGCCTGGAGATTCCAGGTGGGCCCCAACTTCTGCGTGGGACGCAGGCTTGCAGACCCACCTCCCCTCCGTCCAGGGGGGGCTGCAAGGCAGCCGGGCATCCAACTGTCTTGCATCCCTCCCCCACCAGCCGGCCTGGAGGGAGGGCCCTGGAGGCCAAGGAGGCAGAAGGGGCGCCCCAAGTGGAGGCGGGCAGGCGCCTGGAGGAGCTGCGCCGCCGGCGCGGGGAAACCGAGAGCGAGGAGTTCGAGAAGCTCCGGCAGAAGCAGCAGGAGGCGGCCCTGGAGCTGGAGGAGCTGAAGAAGAAGAGGGAGGAGCGAAGGAAGGTCCTGGAGGAGGAAGAGCAGAGGCGGAAACAGGAGGAAGCCGAGCGGAAAGCCCGAGAGGAGGTAAGCGGGGCGCGGGCACCCCAACGCGCCCCAGCCCCTGAGCGCGCGTCGCTGGGGGCGCCCCTGGCCCGGGCATCACTGCTCCCCCGGCTGAAATGCTGCTACTCTCTTGAGCACAGACTCTTGCAAATGCTTTTTAAGGATAATAAACTTACTGTGTGCTAAGCATGGCTCCAAAACCTTTATTCATCTGAATTTATCCAACTCTCCTAAGAACAGGTGGTCTTATCCCCATTTCACAGATGAGGAGACTCGGGCGTGGAGAGGGTTGCTTGGTGGGTTTGATAATTTTCCCAAGGCCCCCTTGTCTCAGTCCCTTACCCTACCCTGCCCCTCAGTGAGGAGCAGCCGAGAGCAGATGGGTCAGAAGGCTGCCGACTAGCGACAAGAGCCAAGAGTCAGCCGATGGTTGTTTTTTTGATATTTGCAGAGTTTTTATAGAGAAGAAGATTTTTTTAAAAATACGTGTTGAGCTTTTTTTTTTAGTGGAAGAGTCTAGATTTTTCACAGTCAGGGGACAGTCTCTGCTTTGTTCATTACTGTATACCCAGGGCACAAACAGCGCCAGGCGTGTAGCAGGAACCCAGTAATTATGAGCAGATGAATTCATTCTGTGTTTTAAGGCAGTGCTAAAAACAACAAATAAAGCTACCAAAAGGCTAATTTGGAAAACTGAAAAAGTGCTTAGCCACCTACAACTTGTATTGCTACCTTTACCAAGGTGCAGTCTTTTCTTTCATCCTGAGGTTACATTATTATTATTCTCATTTTGTGGACAAATAAATGGGAATCCGGTAGTTTTGTTATCGGTGGGGCGCTCTCTGTGTCCCCACCGGTTGCCAGTGGAAGTGAGCTTCTTGGGGTGCTGCTGGAATAACAATTTCTGGAGGCCCCCCATGGGAGGATAAGGTATCATGGAAAGTTTTATTTCTGTGGAATTAAACCCCTGAGTTGCCAAGGTCCCATCTCCCTCCATCCCGCCGAGGAAAAAGTCCCATTTTGTCTTCATCAGAGCTAGGATTAAAGCCAGTGTCCAGAGTTTTCACCCCATATTTGCACAGTCCAGTCCAGCATCAAGCTAGCTTAGCTTGCGTCCCCAGCTGCAGTTCATTGCATGTGGGATCCGCATGGCTGCGGGCCATGTGGCTTCTAGGGCCACGTAGCGTCTAGGGCCACATGGAGGGAACATGGGCGAGTGCAAAGAAGCAGGAGCAAAACAAGGGGTACAAGAGAGAGAGAATTCCTTTGTCTCAGGGTTTTAACCTTCTAAAATCTCCCCCACGCTTGCAGTGGCTCCAGCCCTCTAGCCAATTATCTTTGTTTCCAGGTTAGACTGATAAGCAAGCACTTTCCCTACATCACCCCGACTTTACTGTGCGTCCATCCGTCTTCCCCTTTGTCCGGTCCCTTCCCCCAGTGATTTGCAAGGACTGGACTGGTGGTTCCCTGTGGAGCATGAAGTTGCAGCTTCCTGATGAAGCTGCCCAGATGACCATGCTTATAATGCCTGGCCTTCCCTTTGCTCCTTTCTTATTATTAATATTAATAATTAGCTAATTTCCATGGTAACAGTTTGAGTGACTCATGTGAAGTTACTTGACTAATAAGTGGTAGAATCAGTATTGGGACCCAGCTTCTCTAACTCAGCTTGGAGCTCTGCCCACTAACTTAAGAAACAGTGATCTCCCATTATTCAGAAGATGCAAAAAGACTTCAGATGACTTTCTGACTTGGATCTTACATAAACATTCCCTAAACTGTGTTGAAAGTTTGGATAAATGATTCCAAAAATCTCTTCCAAGTCCAGCTGTCACTGAGCCAATGATCTCTGGTTGTAAAGTAATCAGGATAAAAGAGCTTTAGAACCAAACACACCTGGGCTTGTATCCTAACAGCCACTTGCAAGCTGGGACCTTGGGAAAGTTACTGGACTATCTGAGACTTCTTTTCCTTACCTGTGAAACACCTACATTCAGGATTGTTGTGATGATTAAATAGATCATTGTATTCACACAGCCTGGTATATAATAGGCGCTCAGGAGGTGGTAGTTATAATCACTATTATCACTGCTATTATTATTTAGAGGAGGAGAGTACCAATGAAGGCAGGATGAATTCTTAGAATGGGATTTAATTGGAGATTATTTGATCTAACCTCCTACCAATGACGTGGACTGGATGGCTTAAAAGCAACAGAAATTATTTCTCACAGTTCTGGAGGCTGAGAAGTCCAAGAACAAGGTCTGCAGATTCTGTGTCTGGTGAGGGGGACGCTTTCTGGTTCATAGATGCACATTTTCTCCCTGTATCCTTACATGGTGGAAGGAGCAAGGGAGCTCTCTGGAGTCCTTTTTTAAGGCACTAATCTCACTCATGAGGGCTCCACCCTCATGATCTAATCACCTGTTAATAACATCCCACAGAGGGTTAGGATTTCAACATGACTTTTGGGGAGACTCACACATTTAGTCTATAACACACAGGATCCTTCTGCAATGTCCTCAGACAGATACAAATTCTCTGCTTGAGAGCATCCAGTAATAAAGATCTCACAATTTGAAAATTACAAATGACACCATAAATCTCTCAACATCATTCACAGAGGATGTGCAGCTTAATCAGACCTCTGTAGTTTTTGCCTGAGAGAGGAGCAGGGGAGAGTACTTTAGGCCAGGAATGAAGGCACCGAGGGCTTAATGAGACAGGTTGTGAATATCTGTGATTTCACCACTATGGTGCAATATCAGCCTCATTTCAGGTTTGTCAAACCATCTAAAATAGTCTACTCCATTGAGGTGGGGCAACCATAAAATCATCTCTTGTACAATTTGGCATATATAGTACCATAGATTCGCGTCACTTTGCACATTAGTTATCTCATTTGTCTTCACAACTCTTCTAGGAACTAGGGAGAAGAGATATTTATACTGACTTCGCATATTCGGAAGTAGGTCAGTGTTAAATGATGCAACAGGGTAATGATAATGGTGATATCATCATAGTGAGCACTAGTCGAAGCATTTTACATGGGCTTTTCCATTTAGTCCTAATTAAAGCCCTACTCAGTGGGTTCTATATTAACCCCATTTTACAGATGAAGAGACTGAGGCACAGAGCAGATAAGCAACATGGTCAAGGTCACACAGTTGGGAAGTCGCAGTACCAGGGTGTGAATCAGGCGACTGGACTCAGGAGCTCAGGCTTAATCCCTGGTGGCCCTGCTTGAGGACTCAGGAGCCTCCACTCTAGAGCCTGAGTCGTTGTCCTCTGGGACTTGTGCTCTCTCCCCTGCAGCAGCCATTCCCCGGGCCTTGATGTCCTTGTCATTTGCTTTCTGTCTTAAGGAAGAGAAGAGGAGACTAAAGGAAGAGATTGAAAGGCGAAGGGCAGAAGCTGCTGAGAAACGGCAGAAGATGCCAGAAGACGGCTTAGCTGATGACAAGAAGCCTTTCAAGTGTTTCACTCCTAAAGGTTCATCTCTCAAGGTATTTTTCCCCCAGAAACTCTTCCTCTAATACCTCTACTATAATATCTTAGAAACTTGAGTGTAGCCTTTATTTAGCTGTTGATTATTCAACTCCTTTGCTTCATTTATCTTTTGCTCCTTCTTTGGGCCATTTCACAGCTTTTCTTTGTTTTCAGCTTATGCAAAGGAGAGAAATAAAGTGGGAAATTCACATCTGTCGTGCATTATATGCCTGGTGCACATCGAAAAGACAGACAGCGATTATCTCGGGATCTCGCTGACCCGGGATCTCCAGCTGCCTCACTGCTTGAGCAATTGAAAAGGGAAACATTTATAAAGCGGGCAGATGCGTTATAAAGGTTCTGCTGCTTTTCACGCTAGCCGATCGTTTTTTCTTTGTCATTGTTAAAAGCAGGGCAGCTGGAAATGGTACTGTTCAAATCTGAAGGCTGTTAGAGGGGAGGAGATGAAATGCGACTTGGAAGGGCCCTTCGCCAGGATGAGCTTGGTCCTACTGCTGCCTTCATGGAGCATCGTCCTAATCGACATCAGACAGAAACACTGACAGACGAGAGCGAGCGGGAAAAACTGACTTAGGGGAATGACGGAACGGCTGCCATGGGGAAAGAGCACAGGCTCAAGAACTATTATCTATGTTCAGTCTGCCATTATCTTCACATATATTTTTGCTCATGAGGGTTAACGTGTATTGAGCTCCTGGCACAGTTAATATGCTCAATAAGTATTTGTCGAATGGGTATCTGAATGAATGACTCCTCAGAGATAGGAACTTTTGACACTTTTATTTCACCTTCATTTTCCATCTGGCTAGGCTATGAAGCATTGACAATGGGCAGAGCCAGTACAGAATCACAGCCAGGCTCCAGCAGGTCAATGTGTGTGTGTGTGTGTGTGTGTGTATCTCTCAAGGTGTGTGAGGCCTTATCATGTGGCACACTAAAGTGGCCAAAACCAGTTACATTTTACAGTTATTACCTGTTTTGCATGAAAATCAGTATGTTTTATCCCTAAATAACTTCACTTACTCTTGATGATCTTCTGGGTCCCGTCATAGCTCTGATATGTCTCAAAAAAAACTACTTATAGTTGAAATCTCAGCTCAGGTATCAAGACATCTGACAGACCTTCTCTGCCTCCCCCAGGTAGTCACTTCTCCCCATAGCCACAGCATTGTCTTATCTTTAATATGGCACCAGCCATTGAACTTTAAATATTTTATGTCTATGTTCTACTAGGCTCCCCTGCTAAAATGCGTTCTCCATAAATAATCTAATACATCATCGGGTGTTCAACTTTATATAGTAGGTACTCAACATAATTTATTAGTTGGTTGGTTGGCTAATAGGCTGACAAGATTAACAGTAGGATGGATGGATGGATGGATGGATGGATGGATGGATGGATGGATGGATGGATGGATGGACGGATGGACGGATGGACAGACGGACGCATAATATTAAAAGTTCCAGTGCATTGTGTGGTTTCAGTGTATTTCATCTTATTCAGTTGGGAACTTTGTCTCCAGAAATGCACTTCTAAGTTTATGTCAAAATCAGAAAACTAAGATTTAAGATCCTTTACATCCCATAATCTCAGGGACAACTAGAGCACTTTATCACATAAGGTTTTATTTTTAATGACTTTGCTTTTATCTTTGTGAGAAATCACTGGAAAAGATGAAGTACCCCCCACTAACATCCACAAAAATATTATTCAACTGGCATTAGGAGTGAAGCATGTTTTCCAAAAAGCTTAAGGGTATTTATTAATAGTCCACGAGTCCCAGGTCAGCCCACTAACACCTCAGAAGACTGTAGGGGACACTCACCCACACCAGCCTACGGTAACTATAGCCTAGGAGATTCCTTGGCTGCCCAGAAAGGGCAGAAAATGGACCCTTTCAGCACCTGTGCTCTGCACATGCAGTTACATGCAAAAAAGTGTTTTACCGTTTGCTAATACTGACAGGCGATGCCTGGCAGAGACTATTTCCAGCCTGGAGTTGAGTATCATAAGGAATCAACAAATATTTGCTGACTTATATAGGACATCTGGATTTGAGTGATGCAGTTTCAGTAAAATATAATATTTGACTTAGTAGCTTCAGTTTTAACAAAAAGAAGTTCCTGGCTTTAAAAATAAAATGAATTTATTGAAGACTAATGAATTGCCCATTTAGTGTATATCCATCGCAGTTTCTCTGGGCTTATCTTCTTATGTCCCACTTGGGCTGGTAGGGGCTGTGTGGGAGGCCTCAGCCATCACTGCCGAGCTGTGCCCCAGTCTCACTCCGCCCCCACCCCATCTTCTACTTTCAGAACAAGTTAAGTTCAGCAATAGGCTTGACAGTTACCAAATTAGGAAACCAGGCTAATCCCCGAGTGAATAGTTCATAGTTCCTGGTTATCTTTCTTAATTGCCCCTCTTGCATACTAAATATATAGTCAAAACATTGGGGGGGAATTTTTCTTAATCAAAGAGCATGGAACATCTGTATTCATACAAACATGTCCTAAAGGGTAACCCCATGTGTTTTTGACAAAAATTGTTGCTAAGAGGGTAGATCTTAGAAGTTCTCATCACTAAAAAGAAAAAATTTTGCCAGGTGATGGATATTAACTAGACTCATTGTGGTGGTCATTTTACAATATTTCAGATATTAAATCATTCTGTTGTACACCTGAAACTAATATAATGTTATATGTCAATTATATCTCAATAAAGAAATCAGTAGAAAATTTTTTAAAGTATGCCAGGAGGCAAAAAAAAAAAAAAGAAAAAAAAGATTATTGGTATGGTCTTGAAATGTTATTATTTTGCCATTGATCTAAATTATTTCAAAGGCATTTTTATTCCATTTCTGTGTAGCCTTTAATTTGCCTCCAGGACTTTGTATTTCTCTGCACACTTTCTCTTTCCTCTGCCAACCTTACCTTCACCTCTCGACTCCCATTATCAAAACCTCATATTTTCTCTCTAGCAGAGCTGCTACGCACAGCGCCCTAATACGCTTTCACACTCTGGTGCTTTTCTTCACCAGGTTCAGGGAGGATAGTTGTATGGGGTGAGCAGCACTGTTTATGAGATAAAAATAGTAACTGTGGTGTGTGTTTTTAATTCCTAGATAGAAGAGCGAGCAGAATTTTTGAATAAGTCTGTGCAGAAAAGGTAAATATGGCTGATTGTTCACTTGAGAATCCTCAGCCGTGATATGTGTGGGAAGATTTTTTTCTCATTCTTCTATCTGTGTGTGTGTTTATTTGCTTAACAGTGGTGTCAAGTCAACTCATCAAGCGGCGGTTGTCTCCAAGATCGACAGCAGGCTGGAGCAGTACACCAGTGCCATTGAGGTGAGAGATGTCCTCAGGGCTGTGGTCACACAGAAATCAGCTCTGATTATATAAATGATCGTAGAAACACTTAGGACAATTAGCAAGTCTAATAATCACACTCATGTTAGGACATTAATAATGTTTCTTTATTATACTTTGAACCAGTTATACAGAAGAACAGTAATAAAGGTAAATTATAGAAGGGATTTAAATAAATTATTTCCTACTTTCAGCCTGAGTGTTCTTTAATGGAGGTATTGTTATTTTAACAAATGGGTTTATTGATATTTAACTATATTGTTTATATGTTAGTAAATATATCTTCTAATATTACTTCCTTATAAAATGTGTTCCCATGTGTAGTTTAAACAGGTCCAGTATAACCTTGGTTAATCTTCTTTTGTCTATAAAAACTTTTCTTATTAAATTAAAAACATAGTAGTGTAAGTTAATATAAAGATGATTGCCAGCTAGAGTTTAACCACCATGAATTTCAAATCAGCAATTTTATAGTTGAAGGACCATAGTTTTATGTTTCTGTCTATTCCAACCTTTTTCCTACCAATTGGCCAAGGGGTTCTGTCATATTTAGAAATAATGTGTACTTCCAAGTACCAAAGCAGTAAGAAGGTAAGGTGCTGTTGATCCAGATGTTATCCTGGTCCTTTCTTCTTTGTGTAGACTTTAGTCAATGATTTTAGCTGTCTTCTATCAGAATACCTGCTGTGAAATAATTGGATCGGTTTGATTTGAATTTCTCCTCTCCTTTGTACTGCAGAGTGGAGATAAGTGTAAAATAATTCACAGTCAAATAAGTGATAAGAGGGACTAAGAAAGAGATCTGAATGATTTATGAAACGAAAACCAAGTCCTAACATTCAAGAGGTGATCACAAGATTAAATGTCCCCTAAAATATAAGACAAATTACAGAGTTATTTTCTGTGGTTAAATTAATTGTAGCTCTCATAGTGCTCATGAAGCCAAGACTGTGGCTGCACCCTTTACATAGTCCAGTGATGGTGCCACTCACCGTGGCCGACCACCTTGACCACATGCCACAGGCCACTAAGCAGGACAGGCGGGAAATTGCATGATTCTGGGCATGCCCATCACTCCTGCCGGAAAGTGTCTCAAATGCCACTTTGCTTCCTTACATCCATTCTTTCCTCCTTCCAGTATATTCTCCATGTAGTGCTCCCTTACTTGTTCAGTCCTTTAGCACGTCCCTGCCGCTGGTCCTTTGCCTATGCTATTCCCTCTGCATGGGATGGTGTTTTCACCTACCCACTTCCAAGTCTTCCGTCAATCTGGGTTTAAATATCGCTTCCTCAGAATAGCCTTCTTTGCTCCCCTAAATTGAGTATTATTCCCCTATTTTGTGTTCCCTTGGCATGTTTTATAACACTACATTTACCTTTTGTAAGACATCACAACGTGAAATAAATACTTGTGTAATCAGTTACTACCTTCCTGTCCTATTAAAATGTAAGCCCACTGCAACTTATAGAGCAGACTATCTTGTTTTGATTACCACTGTATCTCCAGAGCCTGGACAGTGCCCTGCACACAGTAGGCACTTAGGTATTTGTTGAAGAAATGGGATAGAATATCACTTTAATGATAAATGGCATCCCAATAAAAAGCATATTGCATTTTTGAAAGACCCACTCATCTAGATCTTAAGGTTTATTTTTTGGTATATATGTCATAAGAGTGCGGTTTTAGAACGGAAATTATGACTCATTTTGGGGGAAGGCATTTACACAGTGATACTGTCCAGGAGGACAGTGTTTCACAAGAACAAACCTGGCACCTATCCTAAAGATAATTCACACACTTCAGGGAACAAAAACTGCAAAACCTGCAAAGCCAGCAGCCTCGGACCTCCCTGTTCCTGCCGAAGGCGTTCGCAATATCAAGAGCATGTGGGAGAAGGGGAATGTGTTTTCATCCCCCAGCGCATCGGGCACACCAAACAAGGTGAGCGTGGGGCTGCTGTCTTTTCCTTTGGGAGGGTGGGGTTTTTTTCCTGTTTTTTTTCCCCCTATTTTTAGTAACCACACTAGCTCATTTCTTACTTCCTTTTGCAACAACTGCAAAAGCAGGTCAGAGACCGTAGACTGTGTACCGCGCTCTAGCCACAGTCCTCTAAAGAGAGTTCCCGAAAATTAATCATCAACCTTGGGTTTGGGGTGGGGTGAGGGGCAGGGGCAAGCCAACCAGTAACATTCTTTAAATATCAAGTTTATTTTACTCAAAATATGAATCAGAAGGCTCAATCATTAATTGGCGTTATGGGATGGTTATGGGAAATAACATGTAATAGTGTTTGGAGGTTGCTTTGGAGATTTCTGTCCAGGTAAAGTTTGTTTCTTTCTTTACTACTGGATGCTTGACTTCTTGCAGGAAACTGCTGGCTTGAAGGTGGGGGTTTCCAGCCGCATCAATGAGTGGCTAACCAAAACCCCAGATGGAAACCGGTCACCTGCTCCCAAACCTTCTGTAAGTAGCTTCGGGTTTTTCTGAATTTCTTTGATCTCAGCTTCCAGCAGCAGGAGAAAACGGGCTGTTGGTCTGTGTGCCGGGGAAAGACAGTGCTCCTGTTCTTTGCTGTCCCTGCTGAGTGACCAACAAGGAGGGGCTCAGATTTGGACAGAACAGTCCCAAGCAGCTGCACCATAATTGCCCAGAGGGTGGTAGTTAACCAGAGTGCTGAGGCCGCTCAGATGTTCACTCTTACCTGGTCTGTGTGTGTAGCTCCTGGGCTGGAAATTACAGCTGGGAATTGGAAAGTGAAAAATGTGAAATTATCTTGGCCACTCCTCTGTCAAGAGCGCCCCTCAACTTATTCCCCAAGGAAAGTGCATGTTGGCTGTTTTGAACCCATAGTTTCTAATTTGCCTAATTTCTGTAACTTAACACAAAAATCCCGTTTTTAGGTAGTTGTTGAAATAATGGCCATAATTTTTTTGGTCAACACCTCCAAAGGAAAGCCATTCAAAAAAACACACAGTAAAACCGGAAACTATAAAAACTGGTTATAAATGGTATTTTTGGAAATCAAAACTTTTCTTATTTATTAAGTGTGGCTTTCTTACTATCAAAATATTCTTTTAACCTTTGCCTTGAATGTATATGATAATCACCATGCATTTATCACTAGAATAAAAAACCTTATTAATAAAGCTCCCTACTGTATAATAGTGAGCTTTCTCTGTGCCCAAAGGACTCAACTGTCATAACTATTAATCCATCCCAGAGGTAGAAGAACAGCCTTTCAAATCCTAGACCTCTGTGCCACTGAGCATGTCATTGTGTCCACTGACTCCATATTTAATCTCTAAAGTCACTAAAGTTTACCACTTTTCCAATTTAAGAAGAAAAAAAAATGGAAATATTTTTTACCCTTCTTGGGTTCAACTCCTTATAGCCACCTAATGAATATTCAGGCAGGATTTTTTGCATAAGGGCTCTCGTGAGGCATAAAACGAATGTAAGCCCAATTTACAATCAGAAAGTCTTCATATATTGAAAAAAATCTTATACCCCTCTGCCAGTAGATCCAGGAAAGGGGGCTATAAAAAGAGGCAGTCCAGGCGAGGGATCATACCCACAAGGTATGTGCTCTTTAATGCCTCGAGTTTCCCTGACACCCAAAGTGACACGTAGAAGTTATTTTTCAGTGGCAATTTATGCAAATTTTGTCGCTCCAGACCAGTGATTATTAACCTTTTGGAATTATAGAACCTTTTGAAAACCGAATGAAACCTGAGGAACTTCTGCCCTCCCAGGCACAGGTCACTCAAGTTCTGGAAGTTCACAGCGCCACTGAAGAACTCCCAAAATAGCAAAGAGAAGAGAGGAAGGCGTGTTTTCCTCTTTGCCGAATTTGCCACATTGCTAGGAAACGTCACTTTTTCACGTTTACTATATTTGTGACCGATTTCATTTCTGTACCAGATTTTACCAAGCCTATTGTCGTCTATATCTTCTTCATGGAAGGGTTAAAAAAAAAATTCAGTTCAGTTATTAGAATAGGTATAACTATGTCAAGGTTTCTGCAAAAAGCCCCATTCTCTGGGGTAACTGATAGCCTCCTAAAAACAGCAGGACACGAAGGTATTACAGGGAAATTGCAAAACCATTGCCTGCTTTACCTACTAGTTAGTGAGTAATTTGCTAGAAGAATGTCAGGTTGTGGTGATCTCTTTTCCCATGACCCACTGGACTTTGCAGACTAGGGTGACTTCCTGAATGAAAGCCAGGTTGCAAGAAAGCAATAAGTATTTGTAAATGAAAAGCCAGTGTTAAGTATACTTAATGAGCAACTTTAAGTTTTGTGCCCAGTTCCGGGGTGATAGAGCCAGCTCTTGTCAAGGTGTGAAGAGCAACGTGGCAATCTCTTCGGGAAAGGACCTGACCTGGGGCCCAGGAAAGCAGGAGGGTAACTCACAGATACTGTGGCTCCAACAGAAAAAAGATGAAATTTCTGAGCTGCAGAACGGGCTGCAAGGGTCCTGCAGATGCATACAACTTGGCAGGCAAAAGGTTAAGTCCAGGATGGCAGCTTAGAAAGACAGGTCAAGCGAGGACTTTGCCCAGGTCTTGTCAGGGCTCTCACACTGGTGGCCTGCAGCTAGGATCTATGTAGTTCGGCCCACACGATTGTGCTTTATTTTCCTTTTAAAAATTATAATTCGAACACACTTTTGAGGTGTGGAGGCATGTACTCCTTTAATTTGTTGATTCCCTCTTTCCCGTATTTTTTTACAATAGGCCTCTTCAGGCCTTTGTGTCTCCATCCTGGCCCTTCATGGCAGTTTGACACCTGTGGGACTCTGGTCATGCCGACCCTGAGCCCAAATAGTAGGCCCCAAAGGTGCCTTCTGATTTTCGACCCAAGGTGATTTTTTTCTCTGTCCCTTGATTATATTCCTTGATGTATACGGGTAGAGAGGAAAGCCTGGATTTGTGTTTGCAGATACGTGGCACGTGGCCATGAAGAAAAAATCAGAGGGAAATTCTTTCACCAAAATATTCCTCACCCAGTGAAACCTCTAAGAGGAAGGAGATTAATGATTCCTTTGGGATTAGTGTTTAGTTCTAAAATTCACTGTATTTTAGTTCTAAAATACACTGTTTAGTTCTAAAATTCACTGTATTTTAGTTCTAAAATACAAATTTACCAAGTTGTATAATAATTTCCAAACATGCTAGGAAGTAAAAGTGCTCAAAATAGTTTGTCGAATCAATATTATTTGGGGGCCCCTGAAAACTGACTCATTTAAAAGTAAACACTGATCTACATCTGATCCCTTACTGGGACACCTATTGCTATTTTTGTGGGTAGAATTTATGGGATTTCGGTGTAACGTTGTGGCTGGAATTCAATTCTGAGTATGCCTGTTTTAGCTGGTTTGTCTGTTCTTTGTGTCTAAACTACGTTATATGTAGCTGAATTAAAATGCTAATTTGTCTTTCTTTTTGTTTAAAAAAAAAAACTCAACCACGTCTTTCTCAGCTGAATTCTCTTCTTCATTCTTTGATCTCTGGTTGATTGGAAACCTGCTTCTCCTGCCTTCATTTCTCCCTCTGCTTCTGGAGTGGGTGTTTGTGTAAAATGTAGTCTGGCCAGGTAATTGCATTTATATTTCCCCTTTGATTTAAAATGCCAACTTACCAATTGGATGTTAATATCTTCTTAAAATAGACTCTAAACTCTTTAAGTGATCTCAAAAGATTCATAGGTAGGATTTTAAGGAACTACAGTCCATTTTCTTCTGTAGAACATTCATGGGAAAGAAAAATATTTGTCTTCTATGAATCAAATAAATAAAGTAATAATTGCCACTTTCCAGAGCTTCCATCAGCATGTGCCTAATTATAGTTTCCAAAATTTTAAAACAGTCTTCCAGACAATTTGGCAGCTTCTCCATACACTGGCAAACGTAGTGGAATCCTTCAAAAACAATCTGATTTGTTGCTTACTGGTTCCAAGTTAAATAGGTGTAGTTCTCTAATAGAATATCAGGAATTCATGCCACAGTGGAACCCAGTAAGATTAAGGCGCATCTGAAATAAAATTTAAAAAATCTGAAATGCTTCACATGGTACCACTTAACTAACCAGTGCATTTTCAGTGTTGAGATTACCATACTCTGTCAAAATAATGTCCATTTAGACTGGTGTCCATGGGTAAATGCAATTGCTGTTAGCTTTGCCTTCCTAATGAGAAAAAGATGTGCCAAAATAAACATTACTATTTCAGTTAAAACACATTTATTTTCTACAGACTACCTTTTGCCAAGTACTAATATAAGCACATGCTGGAAGGAAAGTAAATGGAAACAGAAATGTGGATCGTGGTCCAAACCAAATTAATTACGAGGTAGCAAGTAAAGAATCAAAGCTATATAAACTGTTTTCTTCCCAAGATTTCCACATGTTCTCACATATGTCACTAAGTGTCAGTTTCTCTTACCGGTACAGTTTGTGGTCCATATTTACTTTGGTGGGGCTTGGTTCTACCCATACACTTCTGAATTATCCTCTTGCTCTGCAGGAGACACAGAATGATTTTAGACTAAGGACAGTGCCATTAGAAAAAGTGTCCTAGTTTAGACTATCCAGAAGCAGACCTTAACATAGTGATTCTAGCATAAGCAGTTTACTTGGGAGGTAAAGAAGGCAGCCAATCAGGAATGTTATGAATATTATTAAGCAGGTCACCACATGGGCTATTAAAACTTAATCCCACTGGGGAAACCGTGGAAGTCACCATAAAACACCTGCTTTAGAGTCATCCTCCCTGAGGCGTGAGCGAGCCTGAGACAGGTCCTCGCCCCAAATCTCATGGGTGAGCAGATGAGGACTGCTCTTGGGGGTGTAACTCTGAACTTCTGGCCTGCCTGGAGGGGCACAGAGGGCAAAGTGGGCATCTGTAGCCAGAGAAAGTCCTCAGGCAGAGAAACGCAGTGTTGGCAGTTGGAAGTCAGGCTGGAACACACTAGAGTCGTAGGGGCACCGAAAGTTAACCGGAAGGGCTGAAATGCATGTCCAGCCCCACAGGAATTGCAGGTGACCTTTGAACAACACTGTTTGAACTGCGCAGGTCCACTTATATGCAGATATTTTTCAATAAATACTGCCAGTGTATTTTGTTTTCCTTATGATTTTTTTTTTAAGATGTCTTATTGATTTTTAGAGAGAGAGAGAGAGACATTGATCGGCTGTCTCCTGCATGCCCCCGACCAGCGATTGAGCCCACAATCCAGTCATGTGCCCTGACCAGCCTTTCCGTACACAGGACGATGCCCAGCCAACTGAGCCACACTGGCCAGGGCATTGCTTATGATTTTCTTAATCATGTTTACTTTCCTCTAGCTTACTTTATTGTAAGAATACAGTGTATGATACATATAACACACTAAATATGTGTTCATCTACTGTTTATGTTATCGGCAAGGCTTCCAGTCAACAGTAGGCTATCAGTAGTTCAGTTTGGGGGGAGTCAGAAGTTTGATGCAGACTCTCTACTGCACAGGGGTTTGGGGGAAAGGGGTCAGTGCCCCAACCCCTATGTTGTTCAAAGGTCAACTGTATTCAAAACCAACCTATGCTGTATTCACTTCTAAGAGCATAGGAAGTTAAAAATAGGTGACGTTCTTTTAAATATGCTTGTAGTCCAGTTTCACTGCCAGTAAGCAGTAGGTCCTTGGTGAGGAACAGGACCTAAATGCTGGGTAGGACCAGCCTGTTCTCATATCATACCGCAGGTCAAGGTCTACATGAGAACAATGTCTAATGATCCTGCCAATGCATCATTTCTTTTTTTTTGTCTTTTTAAACATCTTAAAATATTTTTATTGATTTTTTTAGAGGGGGGGTGGAGAGAGGAATAATGAGAGAGAAACATCAATTGGGAATCAAACCCGCAACCTGGGCACGTGCCCTGACCGGGAATCGAACTAGCAACCTTTCGGTGCACAGGACTATGCCCCAACCAACTGCACCACACTGGCCAGGGCGATGCCATCATTTCTGATCACTGGGATAAAGTGTATTAACAAGAAATTGATTCAAACAAACAAACAGATGTGATGATATATTTAGACCTGACGAGAAAATTTAAATGGCCACTAATTAATTTTTTCGGCTTTCTCTTCATTAGGATTTGAGGCCAGGGGACGTCTCTGGCAAGCGGAACCTCTGGGAAAAGCAATCCGTGGACAAGGTCACATCCCCCACTAAGGTAATCTACTGGAAGAGCTTGAATTTCAGAGGTTTTTCCCTGCTGCACCCTGCAGTATGATGTCCTAGGTCAGATGAGAAACCTCACTGACTCACAGCTTTGCCCAGGTAGCCATCCATTTCTGAAGACCTGTGGTTAGTACAGTGGAATGCAGGGTTCACAGAGCCCTCAGCATGCAGGTTCGTCAGCCACACAAAATAAATAGTCCCGACCCGCAGAATAGTTCCTAGTAAGGCATTCTAGGGACACCAGAGTGGTGGGAGTGTTGGCAACAGGCGGCCTTACAACCATGGTCTACATTTTCTCACAAGGCTTGGAGCCACAGCCATCTGAAAATCACCTAGGGGAAGATGTCCATTCCCTGAGTGGTTCCAAAGCTGCTTTCTGGAACCATCCTAAAAGATTATGTTGCCAGCAGCCAAGGACTCAAAGTTGCTGAGGCAAAAAGTTAAAATAATATTCAGAAGTTAGACAAAACTCACTATCCTATAAAAACTAATGGCTAAGAGTGCTTGGATTTGTCTTTTGTTGGGGGGTTTTCTGCTCATAGGGTATGTTCATTCTTTACAGAGGGTGCTCTGGACAACATCTAAATGATTCTCAGACTAAAAATAGGACCCATTCTTGTACAAGGAGTTAATTCAACTCTTAATTGTAGCCCTTCCCCATTTCCAGTAATAACCCAGCCTTTTCCTTAAACTGGAGAGAAGTCAGAGACCAACAATAAGTAAGATTAGAACAGTCTGCATATGGGTCGACCAAAGAATTTATATGCATATATGCATAACCCATGGACACAGACAATAGGCCTGGGGAGGGGGCAGGAGCAGGTGTAGGAAGTCAGTGGGGGGCAAAAGGGGGGACATCTGTAACACTTTCAACAATAAAGATAAATTTTTTAAAAAGAGGAAGAAAGGAAGGAAGGAGGGACAGAGGGAAAGAGGGAGAGGAGGAAGGAAGGAAGAGAAGGAGGGAGGGAGGGAGGAAAAAAGTGAAAAAACAACAGAAGAAAGACTAAAAGGAGCATATTTCAGTAGAATGCCAACAGTAATCCGCCCTTTCATAAATATTTATTCCTGTCGTATTATAATTCTTTTTTTCTTCTGACACAAACACCTGGCTGATCCACTGTGACCTGCCGATTTAAAGCTCTCTTCTCTTAGCAGGTTTGAGACAGTTCAAGAAAGAAGCCAGAGTAGCCACTCAAGATGCTGGACCTGCCCAGTTGAAGAGGGCTAATGTGCTCTGTTTTATATTTATGTTGATTTACTAAATTGGGTTAATTTCCTTTTGTTTCATTTTTCATTATCCCAGTAGGCCCATGTATATTATCACTATATTTAATAATCACAGTCTAGAGAAGTTCATGGTAAAAGTACTGCCTTTGCACAGGAGCCTGTTTCTAAAGAAACCCATGCTGTGAAATAGAGACTTTTCTACTGATCATCACAACCCTGAACAGGGATCCCAGCCACATCAGAAGTCAAGCGGAAAGAGGTTCAAGGTGAAAATTGCCTGAGGAATGTGTGCGGTATCCAGAAAAACAAACCATAGTGGGGCTTGGTGTTTTTTGTTGTTTTAAATACAGAAGTCGTGTTGTTTCTGCACTTTAGAATAAAGCATGGAAGAAATTATCTTAGTAGGCAATTGCAACACTTGCTCAAAGTAACCCATTTCAGATTTGAAATACTGCAATAATGATTGTCTTTTTTTAAAAAATGTACGGTTAAGGTATTACTTTTTTCATGCTGATGAGTATCTAAATTGGATGATGGTGTTAGAAGACAGTGGTACTGATATCTTTAGGTTGGTTGCTTTGTGGATTTCTTTGGTAGTAATAGTAAACCACGTTAGATGACCTGATCATGTATGTATGTGCATACACGTATACAAACACACTAATGGTAGAAAGCTTTTTTATGTGCTAGACTATTATATTTAGCAGTATGTCCTTGTAACTAGCCATTATCACAGCTTTTCAAAAATTAAAAATCACAATATTATATTAATATTCATATTTGCCAATAGAGACATGGCAGAATAGGTATCAATATGTTTTCAATGCCCAACAGATAACCTGTAAGAAAAAAGAGAGATTAGAAATGTCGAAATGAATTGACATTTTCTATAAAACATAGTATTTAGCTTATAATTAAAAGCAATCTTGAAGTCCATTGTGAATTTTACTAAATTTACCATCTGAGTCAAACTCAGAGCTTGCTGAGAACTTTATTCTGTTAACAATCAAGTTCACCATAGGTTAGCCTAGATAATATCTGAGGTCTCTTCCTTGTCTGAAATTTAAAGACCGGCATTTTAGTGACAAGATTATACAGACTGAAATTCCATGTATGGGTATAAAAGACTAGCTTGGTTAATGTTTGGAAGCAGAGAAGAAAAGTAAACAAAATCCAATATTTAAGAGTCATGACAGTCCTTCCATTTTCATTATACTGAACCATTTTTTTTAAATTAAGTGTTTCTACTTCTATTATTAGTCATTGGTATTTGTCGTAAGTTGATAATGTGTTGAACTTTCAAAAAATATGTGTAATTTTTACTAGTTTTACCATTTTGCCCAAGAGTCTTTATCAACTCATCTTTTTCAGACACGCAATCCAGACATCAGATCTTAGTTTAGCTTATGAGGGCTCATCTAGTATTCACAGTAAATGATAAAGGAGTACTCATGTCTTGGCAATATGTTCTAGCATAGAGACAGGTAGGGTAGTTCTATAAACTTATACCTCATTTGACTTAACCAGAAGTGCCCTAGTCTCAGTTCCTACCACAATGAGGGAGCCTCCCAAATGACTTTTCTAATCTACAGTATTTCCCTGGAAGAGTTAGCCAGGGCAGGGCTGGTATGAGCAGTGACCACTGCCTCGCAAAGTCTATTTTCCTCAAAAATCAGTAAAGAGTAGTTGAATTCTCTAGCTTTTAGCACACCTGGGCCAAAGGAAGGAAAGCCACCAAGATTGCACAAGTCATCCACCCATGACAGAGTAGATATGAGTCTATGATAAGATAAACTAGAATCCACATGTAGTGCCTGATTTAGCATTGACTCCCATCACTGGAGTGAAATGGATCGAAGTCTGAATTAAGGCCCATGGCGATGTAACATTGCTTTGTTGTACTTTTGAACAAGAGCTTCTCCTGATCGCTATTATATATATTTTTTCTAGAAAGTCTAAAGTTGAGAAGAGAATATATCGATCCTGACTTTTATTCCAATATTTGGATGGAATAAGTTTTAGGGTAGAATTTTGTTCAGTTTGGATTTAATCTTTTGAAAAAATAAATCCCATGTTTACTTGTTTAATTACAATTCTCTTTCTTATCTTTAAGAGGTAAAACTGCAAGGTGACTAGCATGTTCTGTGAATCTGCCATTCCTAAAAATTTTATAAACACTTGATGTTTTTCACTGATAATTGATTGCTGCAATAAATATATATTGTGAAAATGCATCCACAATAAATGGAATTCCTCCAAACGTCATTGCCTCGCTTATTTTTATGTACTATATTGGTTATAAGAGTTATATTGTTGTAATAAAGATGACAGCATAGCAAAATGTATATTTCAGATTGAGTCTCAGTTTCACTCTTTAAAGAAGAAAAGCTATTTTGTATTTTGTAAAAACTTCTTATTACAGGCAATTTTCTAACAACTGACCAAACATGTATGGAAAAGGTTGGAAAAAGAGATTTTTGAAATTCTTCTTCAAAAAAATTATCAAATGTTCCTCCATCTTCCCTTTCAATCCCAGTCACACACCACCCTACTTGGTCCTAAGATGGAAGTACTGTTTTCCCAAAGGTAGTTTCTTTTATAGTAGAAATACCCATTAAATATACCCTTTGTTTGTAGAATATTTACTATTGGCCAGCCAGTGGCAATTACATTTAAATCCAAAGGTGTTTCTTTATAGTAATTTTGCATCTTTATGGAGCACTACTTGATCTGAAATCTGAGGTTCTTCTCATAAAGGTTTTAAATGGTGAGTCCAGAGCTCCTGAGCAGTCCCTAAATCCTGCCCATCAGATTGGCAGAATTAACTAAGCTATTGTAACTTAAAAAATATTTAGCACTTTTTACTTCTATACCCTAACAAGAAGGGCAATGGCAGTAAGTTTAGACAATAGGATCATTGTCGTCAAAGTTAATTCACAAAATTAAGCAATGAAAAGAATAGTACTAATCCCAAGATGACAGGACTAGGGATGGATGAAAATTTACAATTTGCATATGCAGGGTACAGTATATTATAGTCACTTGTGTGATGTAGAAACAGGTGTACTGAAGGCTTTGTCCTATCCTTGCTTGCATGTGCTCTCCAAGTGGAAGAATAAATAAGAAAAAAATCTCATGATCCTAAATATGTGTTCTTCCACAAAAGTAAGATGACCTAATAAGGTCTTAATTTGAATGCTGTGTTTTGTGTCATGATGATTACTCATGTTGTCCAAACAGTCTATAGCCTTACTGATTTTTTTTCACTCCTTTGTTCTATTCCTGAGAAAAAAATGTAAAAATCTCCCACTATAATTATGGATTTACCCATTTCTCCTAATAATTTTGTTAATTTTGTTTTTCATGTTTTAAGGTCATGTTTTAGGTGCATATACAAATCTAGAATCATTATATATTCCTAGTGAATTAAATATTTTACCGTTATGAAATGAATCTATGTATAGCAAAGATTTTTGCCTTAAGTTTTACTTTTTCTGTTCTTAATATTGCTATAGTGGCTTTCTTTTTCCACCCCTTTACCTTCAACCAATGTATATCCTTTAGTTTCAGATGCATGTCTTTAAAAACATATGGTTTGAGTTTGTGTTTTAATCCAGTCTGGTCATCTTTGAGTTTTAACTGGAGTATTTATTCCTTTTATATTTAATGTGATTACTGATACTTTTGCATGTAAACAGCATCGTAGTTATGTGCCACCTGTTGCTTTTTCTCTCTTGCCTCTGTGCAGGATTTCTTCTGCTTCCAAGCATATGCTGTTCTACAAGTGGCAGCTGAGAGGCTGGGCTAGACTTTTGGCAACCCAATGGGGCTAGAGGACAAAAGACTCTTCAACTGTCAAGGATGAGGGTTTGTTAAACTACTTCCAGATTATGGATTTTCAAAGAGCTGCTTCCTGAATGGAAGAATGAGCTTGAATGAATCTGGTCTTCATAAAGATTGCTGCCTGCCTTCACTCTGGGAAGCAGTTCCATTACTCTAGTGGGGAGGTAAATTACAAATAAGAGACATAAAAAGTCACAAAATATTGTGTAACGATTCAAGAATTTAAGAGAGAAAATATCACAAGGTTAGTACATAATTGTCAAAAAATTACATAATACATAATTCAGTGTTTAGAGGAAAGAGAGAATACATCAGCCTGGGGTGACGGGAGAAAGAAAAAGCCTTATAATCTTTAATCCCCTCAGAGGTGTACCCAGTGCTCTACAAAGAGTGGTGCTTGGTTAGTGATAATGATTTCCTGAGCAACCCAAATTATAAGCTGCTCCATGTACTGCTGTCAGTTTCTGTAGCATTCTTAGATATCCGAGAGATTGCTTTATGACTTTTATTCCCAGATTTATAATTCTTGTATCATCTCAGCCCTGCATCTCAGCTCCACAAGGAATGTTGGCCTCTTTAATACAGATTTAATAGCAGAGTTTTGCCAAGGCATGCTTTGAGTGATGTCAGCTTTTGTTATCTTGAAATATTTCCGCCCCAAAAAATATTAATTAAAATGGTTTTAGAAGTCCCAACTGATCATTTCTACCTAGTTGGGGAAAAAACAAAAGCCTTCATTCAATAATCTCTTACTGAAGCTACTAATATAAAAAATTATGCAAAAGAGCTACAATCCTACAGAACACAAGATTAGTTCCTTAGCTAGTTTTCAACCTCAGTCAGTGGTGACACTATAGTCATGCCGGGATCACCACAGCAAGGTAAGTAGATGGATCACCAAGTATCAGAGGGATATGGTGTCACTGTGACCAGCTGGAGGTCAGCTAGTCAAATGGTAATGACAGCTAACAATAAATAGGCCCTTACCAAGTCACAGGCAATATGAAGTAAGTGGGAGCACAGAGAAGTTAAAAAGGTTGCTCAAGATTCTAAAACTAAGTGGCAGAATATTTGACCCCAGGCAATTGGCTCCTAAACCCACACTCCTAACCTCCAGTCCCCACAATCTCCCCGAGATTGCTATTGTGTAGGAACGTGCCTAGAGGAGAACCCCTTGTTAGGGGGCAGGTTGGAGCCAACACTCTCCTATGAGGCCCACAGACACAAGAGCAGCCCTTGAAACCAGCATTGTAGATTCCAACTCCGCCCAGTTAAGGGGAGAGTTGCCCTTTTCCTCCCCAGTCCCTGCCCATCCTAAGACAACAAAGAGCGAGTTCCTACAAAACAGAGGAGGGAGCAAAACTCCAGTTCCCTCCCACTTCCCAAGCCACCTCCATTTTCAAAGTCAATTCAATGCCCCTCCTTCTTTTCACCCAACCTAGATCTGTCCCCAGCTCTGGAGGCTTGGAATCTCAGAGGGAAGGTGGGGGTGGGGGTGGGGAGAGATTA